TTTTCTCATTTCTTAGGTTTTTCTAATTTACAATTAAAACATTTTCAGCTATTTTCCAACTTCTGTGTGGATGTCAGCTTTTAGCACTTCAGCACTTTTGTTTTCAGATTAAACTCTGGTTTTTTTATCATTCAAATTTTTTAACTTAAAATTCAGCAATTAATTCATTTTAGTGCATACATTCAGATTCAAGCATTCACACTGCAGTTTCTTTAGAAAATGTACTTCCCAGTTATAAATGATTGGCATGTGTGCATGCATGCACACGCGCATGCATGCGCACACGCGTGTGCATGCATGCGCGTGAGTTAGAGTCTCAGGGCTGTTTCTGCTTCATCTCCTTCCAGCTCTTCCACACCAGGACATCTCGACTTTTTCCCCAGGCGACGAACCAGCGGGGCAGCCTGAAGCCGTTGTATTGACCCACGCCGTCGTCATGGCCCATCGCCAGCAGCATGGTGACGTTACCTAGCAACCAGGAAGAACTCGAGTCAGCCAGAGAACAGAGGCAGGTGACCAACAGCCCGGCATGGTGAGCGCATACCTGTTTGATAGGAAGTCAGCTCCTTCCCGCTCACACTGTTGGCAATGTTGGCCACGGCGACAGCGGCGTGGAAGCCGGCGTTGTACGCCGTCTTGGGCTCGTTGACATTGGTGCAGTCACCCACGGCGAAGATGTTGGAGAAACCGTCGACCTGCAAGTGGCCGTTGACCTTCAAGGCCCCGTTTTCAGCCATACTGTCATCTGTGAGCAGAAACCAGTCGCTGATCAATGCAGCCATCGTTAAAAATAAATGTCTACGTGATTTTTCAGGCTAGCAGAGGCGGGACTCGGCATTATCACTTCCTGTGACACTGTAAGTAAGAAGAGTGACGTCGGGCGAGCCTGTGGTCAAACCGCAGCGTGGAGTGAAAGCAGGAAATGACCTCAGTGCGTGTGGGTTTGCCGTTCTTACTGAAGGTGGCGCTGTAGGCTGCAGAGTTGATCTTGAGCCCGGTGCAGCAGATGATCAGATCCGTGACCAGCGTTTCGCCGTGGTCCGTGAT